AATTAACCCAAAGGTTAATAGGATTACCAGCAACTCTGTGCAGCCTTGGGAGCTGTGATATTCTTGAAGGGCTTTGGGGAGGGAAGGCAGAAAAAGGCAGTGGGTTAATCATTTCTGCTGAAGACACACTTGCAAATAGAGCAGCTAGAGCCTGATAATATTGACCCCCCACTTCCCATATATTTTTCAAATATCTGTGGGAACAAACCAGTGAATGCTGAGAGCTGGGAAAGAAAGGGCAGGAGTGCTAGTTGCCCTGCATGGCCACAGAGCCCTCTGCTCCTCTCCTGCAGAACCCTGAGGGAACTGCACCAGGTCGTTGCACAAATCTTCTGTCCACAAAATGGTTGTGTCCAGCAATGTGGGACATGCCAGACAGTTTCCACGGGGGTATGTACCCACAATGAGATGCTGGAACATCCCAGAGGATGTGGCTGGGTGACAACAGGAGAAAGGGTGGCTTATTTCCAGGGAAGGAAGGAGCTGTGGCTCACGAGCTCCCATGCCCACATCCAGGGACAAGGGACTAGGGGGGTGAGTAGGAACGTTCCCCTGTCACAGAGCCCAGGCCAGCAGGATGGAGACAGGGGCAAAATGGTGCTGGAGCTGGTCTACCAGATCACATGGTGAGAAGGGAGCAGAGTGAAGAAACACAAAGTGCATCTGAAGGTGAGCCACGGCCAGCCCACCCCACCATCACAAGGGGACACCTAGCTGGGTCCTACATCTTTGACTGCCAAAGGAGCAGAGGGACATCACCAAAGCAGGCAGCAGAAAACTCGTGGCAGATACAGCCGGCCTTGCCTGGGGAGCAGTCCTGCACGTGCTGCAGAGGACTGCTAGTGATTCAGGTAGTCCAAGAGTGACTTTGCAGGAGCTGTGGGCACAGAGCTGCTGGTGGGAGCAGGCAGCAGAGGCCACCAGCCAGAAGTACACCAAAGGAAAAAGCAAGGGGAGATGCCAAGAAGGGAAAACTTGTGAACTGGCTTTGTGGAGCAGCGCCAGCAGCAAAAGCCCCAGGGTTGGCAGCACTGGCCTGCTGCTGGAGCGGCTTTCTCTGCTGGATCTGGCCCAAGGAGCAGGGACTGAACCTCTTATTGTCCTCCACAGCCCACAGGCAGCCTGACTGGGCTGGCACGGCCCACCACTGCTGTGCCGAAGCATTGTGTTCAGCTGCTGGATAGCTGCTCTGGCCAGCAATGAGATTTGGGCATTAAATGAATGGGAAAAAGGTCATCTCACCAGTGGGTCAGGTTGAGCTCTACCACTTGCTGTTCAATCCCTTTCCAGTTAGTTAATTCATGGTAATCATTAATAACCAGCCCCTGTCCATATGCGAAGCTTTACAATAGCTAATTTTTAAATTGTCACTGCAACTATAAGCTGTTACGTGTGTCCTGGTTGAAGCCACCTTCCTGTTTAAACACTCCTGCAGCCAATACAATCCTTTCTGATTAATAGTGGTTTTGAAATGCCAAAAACAGTCTGTTGGCCAGCATTCCCTTCCACTTTGTAATTTTAGAGCAGCATTAAAGGGAATTAATGGAAATAAAGCTTCAGAATAACAGCAAGACTTAGCCTTTATTGGAGACCCTTTGAACTCTAGTTAAATTAATTTTCCTTCTTTCCTTGAGATTTTCAAACACAGATCTGGCAGTTCAGCAGTCACGAGCTGTGCAAGCATTAATTTGACCTTTGGAGGTCAATAGCTGAGTACAACGCCAATGACTAAACACTGGACACAAGACCTGGCAGAGCACCTCTTCCCTGCCAGTGTTGGTGACCACCATATCATCAGTGAGAGACCTCCCCTGCCCAGGGATCTCTCTAAGGATCCCATGAGCAGGCTTGATCTTTCATTTCCTGCCAGCACTGGTGACCACCATACCATCAGTGAAAGACTTCTGCTCATGGGATCTCTGAGGAGCCTGCAGGCAGTCTTGACCTTTCAGTTCCACCTCTCCCTCCCAAGCGGCAGAGGAATTTGCTTCCTCGTTCTTGGCCAAGATGTTCTCATCAAGATAAAATCCAAGGGGATCAGCCCCTCCCATCCTTAGTCCTTACCATTCCATGCTCTGGTCGCCTGGGGCTGGCACAGCCCCGAAGGCACTGCTGGACCCTGGCTTTCAAATCACTTCATCCTTTCCAGTAATGACTGTTTTGCAATGTGGAAAATAATAAAAGTCTTGAGACTATTAAGAGCTCTTGGAAAAGCAGAGAGCAAAGAGTAAAAGGCCAAGCTGAGCAGATTTCAAACCTCCTCTTGAGATCTTTTAGACTCCCACGGTATTTTAATCCTCTTGGCATTTCCAGCTGCAAGGGTAAAGGAGCAGAAATCCTAGGCAGAGGGGTGGGAGCTTCAGGGTGCATGGCTGAGGCTGGGAGCCCTGGGGTGGGGTGGTCAGCAGGATGGGGCAGCTCTCTCCCAGAGCCCCTGCAGCATCACCCATCTGCCCCTTGCCCACATGCTCTGCTCATGTGGATGCCTCAGCGCTGGCGAAAGCTGTGACAAAGCCCAGCTAAAGTGCGACATGGGCCTAACAGCTCCTGAAAACTATTGCAAGAATAAGGAAGTAACCAGAAAAATTTCTTGTTTCAGATGCTTTGCTAAATGTTGCATAAGGTGGGGGAACATGCCTGTTCTCTGTCGTGTAATGATCAGTTATGTTATAGACGAAGGGCTCTGCATGGGGGGAAATGGCTTCATGTCATTAGCCTTAAATCACAGTGGAAAAAGAAAACTAACTTCTTTTGGCGAGTATGATCACTGGCAGTGACTGGGGGTCTCAGCATGGCCATGTCCACAGCCTTGCAAGACCCAAGCTGAGATCTGTTGGTTTCCCCTCTACCAGAGGTTCTGACCTTCAACACGCACCCCTCTGATCATCCTTCTCCCATCATCTGTATCTGCCAGTGAGAGTCCTCATGCTGTTCTGCCGTATGAAACTTGGATGGAGACCACAGCTATGGTGTGCCAGTGAAAACAAGCTTTGGAGAAACACCGAGCAGCTGTGCAGCACTGCAAGAGACGTTCCCCACCAAAAGGCATCACCAGTTCTTATAGCCCCACGCCCTCTCATTTTCAGCCTCACCAGGGGCCTCCAGAACTCAGCCCATCAGTTCCTGCCTGAGTAATTCTAGAGAAGCACTGGTCCTGGTCTCCACTACAGCTCTCCTCCTGCCCAGCCATGGCCCTGCTGATCAAGACCTCAAAACATGGACAGATTTCCCAGCCAAACCTTGGATCTGCCTGGTCACTGCAGGCCTGCCTGGTGGTCCCCAGGCTGTGTCCAATCCTGCTACAGTCCCCAGACTGAATCCAGCCTCAGACCTGCCTTGTCACTACCAGTTTCCTAGGGGATCTGGACTCTGGGCTGACCCCAGCCAGGGGTCCCAGGCCCAGGGCCCATCCAGCTCACTTGCATGGAGACAGTGATGGACAAGTCCCCTGCCCACCTGGCTGTGCAATCATGCTGGGCTCCCCATCCCTCTGGGAGCAGTCATCCCTTGTGGTACCCTGGCATGTAGGACAGAACAAAATGTTATCTCCTGGTTAGATCAGGGAATGGAAAACAAGTCCTCAACTCTCCTGTAAGGGCAGTGAGCCTGTATTTCAGTCCATTTACAGCTCACTTTATCCTGAGCAATTATTTTTTGTATGCAGCAGTAAAAATTTTCCCATTGAATCAAATATTTCTACCAAGTGCTGGCTCTCAAAGGAGTCCCACAGCCCCAAGCTGACATCAACAGTCTTCTATAAACATGCCATGGAGAAATAACATGAACAAACAGCAGGAAAGGCTTTATGGAGAGCCTATTATAAACAAGATATTTGTCCTCTCACACATTCCCCTTAAGGTGGGAAATCCCCGTGAAAAGACCAGGCTGGCCTTTAGTCAAGGATATCAGACTTGTGTAATGATGGCAGGCTCCAGGAAGCTGAAACTAGCAACTCTTGTCTCCTTCCTTGTCTACAACAAGGGATGCTAGCACAGATTTTAAGAGCACAGCAGCAAACAGCTTCTCAGATGAGTATTTTAAACCAGGAGACCAATCACCTTTTTGCTCATAAGTGTAATATTTCTCTTAGTAACACTTGTAGGCTCTGTCTGTGATGGAGGAATTAATGAATTGGAGAAGCCAAAACAAGGGACCATCTTGTTGTGGTTATAGCCCTCTAAAAGTTAAATCTGGGCTGCCTCTGTCATCCCAGGGAGCAGAGATCTTTAGTGGCCAATTCCCATTGCTATAGCACAGTTAGCAGGAAGTGTCCCACGGGCATGATGGAGGACACAAATGATGGTTCAGACAGGGCACCCACTTGCCTGGTGGCTAGGGGGGAGGTCATTCCCACCTTCAGCAATCAAAGCTGAATTAAAAGACTAGCTGATTCGAAGTCAAGCTGTCCTGATTTTAAGGAGAGACATAGGCACCTGGAGCAGTTCATGGTTAGATCTGCTGTACTCATAAATGCCAAAGAACAAGTTGCTCGTTTATCCAGCAGCCACAGTGCAATTTCTTCTAGTCACAGATGACCGCTTAAAAATAAAAGAAGTGGGGAGCAGAAAGGTAGAGGAGGAAAATGCAGAGGATGTGCTGTGGCCAGACTCCCATGGCAGGGACATTCCCCCAGCTGGAGCAACCTGATGGAATGCTTGGGGCTGTGGCCAGCTCCTGTCCCAACTCATGCGCTGCTAGCATGCAAGGGTCTTGGCTTGAGGGGACAAGCCAGGGACCAGTGTCCCAACCCAAACCTTGGACATAATCAGCAGGGTCCTGAGTCTGCTAAATTCACTTTCCTGCATCTGTAACTTTCAGCAGCAGGGTGTTGAGCCAAGGACCAAACTCCAGCATCTTGGGCACAAGACACAGTCCTCTCCAGGGTCAATAGCTCTCTCTCTGCAAATACAGCTTGACCTAGGATTGCTTTTTGAGCCCTAACACATGGCAAGATGGGTTCCTGGTTTGAGGAAAGATCCCACATTCCTTTTTTGTTTTGTTTTTTTTTTTAATTTATCTCAGCCTTTACACAGTTCACAGTTGTCAAACTTTCATGTTCAGGCATGTATTACTCAGAGACTGTGGTGGTGAAAAGGAAAGCAGGGGAAATGTAAGATCACAGTCTGTAAGACTAGCTAAGGTTAAGGAGCAATGTGGATAGAGAAAGGCCTTATGCACTGTCTCCTGGTGTTGGCCTGTTCAAAGGAAAATAATGCTCCCAGGCTGGCTGAGGGACATCTGGAAAGAGACACATCCTGCACCAAGAGGACAATGGCCCAAAGATCATATCCATGCCAATATCCATTCCTCGGCTGTTGTAGAGGGTCATCATGCCAACACCTTAATGGAGCACACAGACAATCCTCCAGAGACGATCTTCAGACTCTCCAAGGCTGGTGGAAAGCACTGCAGATACACAGACACCAGCAGAGCTCCTCCGTTGCTTGTGATCTGACCTCATGTCTGTAATTTGTCTTAGGCCACTTTAAGCCATACATATATGTACGGATTCACGTTTTCTCCTTACAATGCCAAACAGTCTGAAGTGCTCTAGTCTATTTCTCCAGGGGCTCAGCTCCTCTTAACTCCTAACTCCTATCTACTCTCTGCCTTGGCCTGCATTCTC